CTGCCCAAGTCCCCTAGGGCCCTGGAGCTCGGACAGTCTCTGCACCCACCTGGGGGGCCACTGCACCATGAGGGGGGCCGTGGTGTGCAGGCAGCCAGGCGCACCCTTTCCTGGAGGGGCGGGGAGACCCCACAGCAGAAGACCGGGGGGTGGGGGTGGGGTCCTACCTGCCGAAGTTGAGGCTGAGCCAGTCAGGGAGACCAGGTCCCAGGCTCCTCCGGAAGGAGGCACCTTCGGCGAGACCCAGGTACCCAAGACACCGGCCCGCGCCCACACCGTCCCCTGCGTGCTGCCTCGGGGCAGGGGACACCGAGGAATCCAGCCTGAATTCTCCTCTCGAAAGAGGCAGGGGATCGCCTACAGAGGCTGTTAGAATGCCGGTGTTAGTCGGACCCAAATCCAGTCTCCTCCCCGCCTTGCTTGGCACCACATGGGGGTTCATACAGGTAGTTAATGTTATCTAGAACTTACTAAGTCCTGTGCCCACCTAACGGAGTGCCGGTAACCATAGCAACAGCCCAGCTACGTGGGAAGCGAAATTGCCCATCCGTTGCCCTGCGTCAGCCAGTGTGGGGCTGGTAAAATGTTCTCACGCCGGCTGGCGGAGGGGGAGCTCCATCTGCAGTGTTTGCCGGTGGCCACGGTGTCAACACGCCCGCCCTGGCCAACGCCAAGCCAGTGGGGCGCCACGTGAGCTTGCCATAGACCAGGGCTGGGTACCCCTCCAGCCAGGAAAGCTCCTTGCTCGGACGGCACCCGTTTAACCTGCTTCACGTGGGAACGGCACACTCCCCCACGTGGACAGCCCCTCCACGTAGCCGACCCACCTTCCCCCACAACTTCAGGGTCCGGCCACCCAGCCAGGCCCTCCGTGGCTGGAGCCAGCCCCGCTGACAGCAGAGGTCAGTGGCCAGCCCCTCCCCACAAAGGGGCCTAGACAGAGCCGCCTGGCGCTGTCCTTGGCTGTGAGCGCCCCAGCAGCCAGGCAAGTTTTGTGCTGACTCCGCGGGAGGAGTGCAGGCTGGCATCGCGCTCAGGAGGGAATCATTAGCGGGAGCGAGGGCCCCAGGCCTGTGGCAGCTAATCACCTGCCTCCCGCAGCCCCTCGCACAGAGGCCGCCTTCCTCGGGGTGGCCCTTTCATCGCCCCAGGAGCAGGCAGGCGGTGAGGGGCCAGCAGAGCACGCCTTCGCCAGCCAACCTCCCAAATAAAATTAAAAAAAAAAAAAATCCCCCTTGCCCCCCCACCGCAAGTATTCAAATACTTCTCACTGACTTCCCGGAGTGTTATTGGTGTAAAGGTTGGAGCTCAGGCAGCTTAGCTGTTCTGCGGGATGACCTTTAGTTTTAATATTAATATATTATCGTAAAGTCGGTGCGAATCGCGGATGCAATCTCGGTCTGTATTCATAGGAAAGGCCGCGGCCACTGCTCTCCCCCTCCGTGGGGGCGGCCGCAGGCGGGGAAATTAATATGCGTCACCCCGCGCTCGCCTTTATTTACTCAGAGAGGGTGGCCGGCAACTTTATCAAGAGCAACATTATCCAGAGCTCTCCCCGCCGCTTCTCTATCCCACGCGCCGCGGCGGCGGCGGGACACTTGTCAGTGTCAATCAAACCGCAATAAGACGCAGATGACTTGCTCATTTGGTTTAATGAAATCTTCCTGCTTATTTGCGCTGCCTCCATTACACCACATAATTGCCGCGCGGCGGCGGGAAGGCAGCCGGTTGCCTGGGGGATAAGAGGAGACGATGGGTATATGAAGGGCTGGCTTCTTTGCCTCTGTCTCTCCCCAGTCACTCATATCCCGAAAATTAATATTGCATTTGAATCCAGCCCCGCCGTCCTCATGCAGGCTAACATTGTTATTACTTATTATTTGGATGTGAAGTCATTTATTTTTAGTTTTATGTCCAAGCTGTCAGGCTAAATTTCATTGTGAACTGCCACGTGCAATTTCTAACTGCCATTTAGAACGCGATTCAAACCCTGAATTATGGAGTGAGCTTCTTCAAAGGCCGGCCTGGTGGGAGCGCGAGGGGGGTGCGGGCAGAGCCCCGGTTCCCCCACAGATCAAAGGGGCCGGTGATTGCTGTGGGAGGGAAGTCACAGCCTTCGTGCCTCACCATCACCCTGACTGTGGCCGGACAGGCAGGTGGGCGAGCGGACAGGCCCCGCGGCCAGCCCGGCCCTGAGTGCGCTGCCCTGGGAGGGGTGTGGGGGCTGAGGGCGCTGGGGCAGGCCCGCAGGGAAGGCGTCTGGGTGCCTCCGGGTTGCTGCTGGGCCTCGGGAGGCAGGGACAGCTGGGGGATGGGGGGGGTGGCGGCTGGGAGGAGCCACGGTTAACGTCCAAGTGGATGGTGTTGTGTTTGGGTCTCGCCACAGAGGAGCGTGTGTCGGGGGCAGACGGTCACTGGCGGTTCCGTTCTGTGGGCAGCGGTGCACAGGGAGCGTGTCCCCGACACTGACCCCCATGTGCCCTCTGAGGCTGGGCCTGGGGAGGAAGAGAGGTGCTGAGACTGGGGGCCGGGAGGTGCACTCTGGGAGCACCGGTCCAGCCTGAGGGGCAGAAGGAGGCTCTGCCAGGAGGCCAGGGGCAAGGGGTGCTGGGATGGAGGGGCAGCGCCCCCTCCCCCCCGGCCCTGGGGCCACAGCGCCGTGCCCAGGTGGCCAGGCCCCTCGAGGACCAGTGTCCAGGAGCTGGCAGCAGACCATCCCCGGGGGAGCCCGGCACCCCGGCAGCAGCACTTTGCGGCCAAGCCCAGGACCCTGCATGCTCCCCACACGCTTGGAAAGACCTGGGAGAGCAGCGCCCCCATCTGTCCCTGGGAAGCTGTGTCCCAGACAGGCCGGGCCCAGGGGCCGCTGAAGGGGAGCGTTGGCATCCCCCCTCCTCTTAGTTGACCCCTGACCCCGAGGACTGAGGCGCACACTGTGTCTCGGGTGCCGACTTGAGTCGATGAGACAGCGTGTTCCGAGGGCGGGGCGGGCGGGGTGCTGTGTGAGCCGGAGGGGCTGTCCCTGGCCAGACAGGGCGCTGGGACCCCTCTGTCCCCATCCCTCCCTGCCTCTGCCAGGGCAGAGAGGCTGTTCTTTCACAGATCCCAGAGCTGAGCTGGGCGCGGTGGGGTGTCCTGTCACTTAGGAGTGTCCTGTCCCCACCTCCCCTCCCCACCGCGGCTACTCTCACTGAGTCGCACACCTGGTGTGTCACAACTCCTGGAGGTGACGCCCAGGCAGAAGGCAGGTTACACCCGTCAGAGCGCCTCTGAGAGCCCCGTGTGAGGACAGCATCACCCCGGGGAGGGCAGCGAGTCCTTCCTGCAGCCGCCCCGTCGGGCAGCCTGGTGCCGCCGCTGTCCTAGGTGCTGGGGACCCGCGTGGAGAAGACAGACCAGCATCCTGCCTCCCGGGGGCGGACAGGCGGGGAGGGACACTGAGGACACACAGATTCAAGTAGGACACGCGGCCGGTTAGAGGGAGCCGCGGGAGCGAGGGAGAGCCGTGGCCAGGAGGCCGCAGGACGGGGAGGGCCGGCGGGGAGGTGGGTCTCGCGGGAAGGACACGCGGAGGCGGGGTTGGACTCAGAGGGAAACGTTGGCCCTTTGAACGGAAGAGAGACGTGGCCGGGTTAGACTTTAACAGGGTCAGGCCGCGGGGGTTGCAGGGCAAAGGGCGGGAGGCGGCGGGAGGTTTGAGTGCGGGCAGGGCCGGCGGGCACCGGGAGCAGCCGGGGTGCGGAGGCGGCTGGACGGGGACATGGGTGAAGCAGGGCCCGGAGGGCCCGGGGGCACAGCGGGTGGCCGAGGGGTTCGAGGCAGCCGCGATCCCGTGAGGATGGTGAGTGAGCGGTGCGGGCAGGAGCCTGGACTCCGGGGAGAGGCCCAGGCGTCAGGCTGGGGTGGGAGCCATCGGGTGTAGACTGGACGGGGCCGAGCAAGAGGAGGCCGTGGGCTGAGGGCGGGGACAGCAGCGCAGGCGACCGGGTGGACGTGTGTCCCTCGGGGTCAGGCGTCCCTGAGGAGGGCGGATGGGAAGGCCGCTGACATGGTCACAGAGGGACATGCGGCGTCTCTGTCTCGGCCGCTCTCGTCCGGATCCGCAGCTACTTTCTCACAGAACCTTCTCGCCCGGCTGGGCTGGGCTGGGCTCGGGAAGCCGGAGGGTGAAGATCTGCACGTGCCCGGCCGGGGCGGCTCAGTAGTTGAGCATGGACCCGGGGACCAGGGGGTCGCGGTTGATTCCCCATCAGGGCACGTGCCTGGGTGTAGGGCTCGATCCAGGGGGTGTGGGGGTGCAGAAAGGGGGGGAAGAAGGCCCTCTGCTGCCTCCTCCCTCTGCTCCTGCGGATTCAGGGCTGGGACGCGGTT